GCAACATAATATTATCACTCGTTTGCCAGGGTGAAAGGTGTCGCAAAAAATGATCGAAAGCCGGAGCAATGTTGGGCATAATTTTTAGACAATGGCATGCTACCTGATATCGGTAAGTTCAAAAATGAATAGATTGTCCATAGTACAGGAAAATTATTCTCGGGAAAGGGATGCCCATTTGACCGACCTAATTGAAACAAAACCACTTCTAGGCGCATTATACATTTGCGCTTCTAGAAAGGACTAATCATGCAAATACCAAGGAGATATGGTCCTCTGATAAAATGGGTATTGAGTTATGCCGTCTAATAATGTCTGAAAAACGATTTAGGTTCCTTTTATATTGTTTGAATTTCGACAATAGCGATTTTTTGCTTAAAAATAAACTTACTTTGGTTGGGACTATGAGAAAGAATAAGAGTGAAATTCTTCCAGAGTTTACACATACAAAGAATTGGGAACATCATTGTTTGGGTTTCAGAATGACTCTAATGTCTTATATAACTAAGGAAAACAAGGTGGTTCTCCACTATGCATCATGATGATGTAATTGATGAATCATGTGAAAAAAACAACCCACAGATGATAACCTTTTATAACGCAACTAAATCAGGAGTTGATACTGTTGACCAGTAGCACTTACAATGTCGCCAGGAAAACGAACAGATGCCCTATGGTCATATTTTATAGTATGATGAATGTAGCAGCTATAAATGCTCAAATAATATATCACGCAAATAACTTTATCAATCAGCACCAGGCGCAGTGAGATTTTATAACTTTTGGGTAGCTTATGATTTCTTGCGTAGATGCTCTCTATGTTCATCATTACATAGAAACCTCAAGCAGGATATTCAGAGCATTTTCCCAGATGAGAGTACAATTCAACTTACAGTAGAAGCTTGAACTACTAAAAGGCAGAGATGTCATGAATGTGGCTGTTCCAAGAACAGGTACATCAAGTACAAATACCTCAGTTTTAAACATTTTTATGTTTAGAAAACGCTCAGCAAATATGCGTCGATTGCTAGTTTGTGCGACTAACTAAATGAGACAATTTCACTTTTATTTTTCATTTGTATTTGAGTTAAGTTGAATAAAATTAAGTCTCACTGTAAATTGAAGTTTTGATATTTGTGTTTGTAATAGGATTCCACAAATATATGTATGTTACTTCAATAATCCCTTTGCATTCATAAATTTGAGTTGAATAACCTAAATATATATTAGTGCAGCAAAAATATATCTGGCGTCTGTTAGACGCTGTGCGACCTTTAACGAAACACTATTCCACACGAGCATTGCAGGGTTAACAGAAAGGCATGTACTTCATGTTGTACTATAACACCAACAACTTGAGGTGGAACTTACAAATCGTTACATAATAATTTCAAAGCTGAAGAGCAGTGCTGGGCTAGCACTTTAATAAATTAAGGCTAACTAGGTTGACTTGACAACCTACCCGGTGTGATAATTATTTAAATGGCCAAAAGGGGAGTATCAGTAACTCCACGTAGCAGCAAGAGAACACAATCGTAATATACATTGGCTAGCAAAAACACACTCTGAATAAACTCCAGGATTCACCCATTTAAATACTCGCTTCACTTTAAATTTGCATCCTGGCAAGGAAATGCGAGGGAAGTTCAGGATTTCAGAAAAGATAAAAAAAATTAGAATAATTGGTTAATTGAACTGAGGGAAACCCTACAAATATTTTAAGACTAAATTATCAGAGTTTGAAAACAGTAAACAAGTAATGAAAGGTTTTGTTACTTCAAATGAAAAAGCTTAAGAGCTAGTTATCTAGCAAGCCTAAGAATTTGTAAGACTGGGCAGGCTCACACTATCGGAGAAAACCGTATTTACCAGCAACTAAAGTTATCATTTTAACATTATTCAATGAAAAAGCAGCTAATGAACTTAATAATATTTTGTTATCAAATGATAGAGTAAGTGGCACGAAAATTCGTGGAATGGCAAATTCCATAAAAGGGACATTTGTTCAAAAAAATAAAAACAAAGTGAGTATTTCACACTGCAATTGGATAAAAGTACTGATATAATGAACTTTGAATTATTTTACATACATTTCGAAGAAGATAAATGAATTGCCAAAAGTATTTATTTTGTGAATCTCTTCATGATAGAGCAACTGCAAATGAAATTTCAAAGTAAGTGACCATTTTATGTCTGAGAATGCCATTCCTTGGAATAAGTGCATTTCTGCATGCAGTGACGGAGCTCGAGCTTTAACGGGAAAATATTCCGATGTTATTTCTCAAATAAAGAAATTCACACCTGAAAGTAAATTATCTTACTCTTCCAGCTTTAGTAGCCAAAACAATCCCCAAACACTTGAAAATCGTTTTGAGTTCAAGCTGTGAAAATTGTTAATTTTATTAAAAGCTGAGCTTTAAATTCAAGAATATTTACCATTTTATTCCAAGAGATCAGTGGACATGATGACACTTTTGTTATATTCCAAAATAAGGTGGTTATCCAGAGGCAAAATTATACGATCTAACTCTCTTAGGTCACATAACTAATCTAGATCCTACTAATGAACATGGCGACTTCTCGCAGAGGCGTGATATAATACCAGCACAGAAAAGTGAAAATAACCCTTTATTAATTTCAACTATGAACAGAAAGGCACATATTTCATGCTTTACAGTAACACCGACATACTGCTGTGGAAACTAAGAATTTGTAACAAAATAAATCCAAGTCTAAAAAGAATAGTACTGGACTAACTCTTTAAGTTACGACTAAACTAGGTTGACTCGATGACCTAACAGGCATACTAATTATTGAAATGGCCAAAAGGCATATTAGTGTAACAGCATGGTCATAAATAAATGTGCCCTGGCACGCTCTCTATAAACGCCAAGATTCACTCCACCTAGCTTTAAATTTACATCCTTGCGAGATGAAGTTGAGGAGTTCAGGAAAGATAACAAAAATTTGAATAATACGTTAAATGAAATAAAGGAAAATCTACAAAGTCTTATAGCATGTTTTTGAACTTCAATTAGAAAGTCAAATTTTCCTCTGTGATTCAAAATTTGAATTGCAAAAATGTTTATTTAGTGAATTGTGGTTGGCCCATTTAGCTGAAATTTTTGGAAAGTTAAATGATTTAAAATTAGGATTGCAAAGTCTAATTTGTTTATCATTAGAGACAAAATAAATGCAATGATAAAAAAACTCGAGCTAATAATCAAAGAATTGGATAGTAATATTTTAAGCTTTTCACCACTTTTAGAAAGGTTTCTAACTGAAAATAATTTGAAAATAAAAGGAGAATGAACATCCAACAATAAAAATCATTGCTTTTCATTGTTAAATAATTTCAACATGTATTTTCTAGAGGCTTATGAAAAAGAAAACTAGATTAGAAACCGTTTTTGTTCAAATGTGCCTGAAACTTTATCTCATGAAGAAAAAGAACAAATAATAGAAATTTCACATGATTGAACTCTTTCTGAAGACTGTAAAAATAACACAGTACCTTTTACTTTAACTGGAAAAAAAAAAAAAAAAGAATTTAAAGGCATTTCGAATAAAGCTATTAAATTTTTATTGCCTTTCTGCACAACCTATTTGTGTGAACAATGATTTTTTTTCCATGTTATATTTCAAAAATAGATACAGAACAAAATTAAAAGTAGCTCCTAATTTATAGTTGAAACTAAATGAAATAAGAACAGACATAAAAAAATTGATCCCTCTTAAACAGGCCCAAATTTCACACTAAATTTTAGAACTAAAGTATTCTAACTTAAAACTTGATAATTTAAAATGTTTATCAAGTTTAATCCAATATATTTTTATTTGTGCATATGTAATACAAATAGCCAACAAGTTGTGCAAATGGCAATGCATACTCTTTTTTTAATATTTCTATTGCCAAATTGTACAAAAAAAAAAAAAAAAAAATCATTGTAAAATGTAGTGGTGGAACTGAATTTTTTCAATTTTTGTTTAGATGGCACACATTAGTCAACAAGTTGAGAACCGCTGGTCTACACCCTTTAAGGAAACATATGTAACAAACAAAGGCTTTTCTTTGTTCATTTTGTGACCCATAAAAAATATTTTATCCTGAAGACAGACTAAACAAATATGGTGATTTAAGGAATTCCTTAACTAAGAAAGGATTTTTTTTCTTATGTACACTAAAACTGCAGTCACTTAGATCCTATCAGCTTGTGAATGTACACAGAATTTCTTTCTTGAGTGCATCTCTTGGTCCTTGAGAGTAGTGTTACTTTTTCTCCTCTTAAGAATAAAGTACAATGAAATATATGACACTTTTATGTCTTTATTAAAATCATAAAAGTGTTATAAAATGCAAAAACTTAAGAACATTTATTATGCTGTTAATTTTATTACTCACAAGAATGAAAAATAATAGTTTAATAAGATAAAACATTATAAATGCCATCCTAAATAGGAGAAATATTTAAAATTTTAATAACGTAATAATTAAAAAAATTGTTGTATTTTAGGATGTACATAAATAAAAATTAATACCGATTTCAATTTAACTGATATAATACTGGATTATCTGTTTATGTAAATTTTAAAAAAATTCACTGTTTAATTTTGCTAAAAAAGAAATTTTTTTTTTTTAATATTGCTGCATGGAAAGAAAAATATTTTTTAACTGCGTAATCTTTGTTGAAATAAAATACAATATGAAAGATTAGATACATCTGTGTTACAGTAAACACACACTTTGCCTATACTGCAAAGGGCGACACATTAATTAAATGAGCTGTAACTTCACTTGGCCCAAAATCACAGTTCTTGTGCATTCGTGCTGAAAAAATATCTCTATCAATATTCACACTTTCTAACCATACTTCTTCCTGAACTGCACTACAGAAAAACTAATTGTTCATTAATAACAATTTATAAAAATATTTGATTAATATTACAAATGATTCCATATCTTTTAAAAACAATAAAATACAAACAAAAAATGTTCTTACAATTGAAGGACTAATTTTCTTCAATGAATTATGGCTAAAATTTGCACATGTTATACTATCCCAAAAAGGCCAATTTTTCACAGGTTCTAATGCTGGTGACCAGTGCACTATGCCACATAGCAGAATAGTAGCCAAATCCTTCAGTGATTCATAAACAATCAATGATTTTAATTTTATACGTAAGGTTTCCACTGATACTAAATTGTTGTCCAATTTGCAATTATGAATCTGAAAGAAAATTTTTTATTTAGAAGAAACATACAGAAAACTGTCCTTAAAACCAGTAAAAATTGTTTGTTTCTTAACTTCACAACATGACAGAAAAAGAAGATGGCTAGGGAAAGTTGAAGTAATGTGAAATAAAATAAGAAATTAAAAAAATAATACAAGCAATTTATAATTACAATTTCAGAAACAAATTCATTTAAATTTTAAGGAAGAGATCATTAATAAGTCACAATAACTTTGTTTACATAAATTTTGCTTTCTACATGTCACAACAAAACCTTTCAAACAATTACACATTTAGTGTCTTTTCAATAATATACATCAGAATTGCATTTATGGCAATGTTTTACGATTCTGATCCACTGTACTGGCATAGATGGTGAAAATTGTGCTTAAGACTACAAGAATTATGTCCCAAGGCATAATTCTTGAGGTTAACTCACCAACTTGTTTCATCAGTTGCACTACCTGAAGTTCCAAATGAATTGTGGTAGATACACTAGGTTCAGGGGTCACGATAGCCATATTCACATAAGTGAAAAATGCAATCTCTATGAGCAACTGTGGCCAGTTTAATCCTTTTCACTGAGAACAGCTAAAACAGATTGTGTATGATTGAGGAGCTTTGCCAGCCACAAAGATCTTAACAATGTTTCATCTATGGTATTATCTACTAAAGTGCACATATGAGTCAACAACTGAGAAGGCAAGCTCGACTTTGCTTTCAGAATGTATTTCAGAATGGTCTTTGTTTTAGAATATCATATTTTTCAGTAGTGGGAGGTTTTAAAATGATACTGCTAACAGAATAAAGTAGACCAGAATCCATAGCAGCAACATGATTAAATTTTGTTAAATTCAAATGGAAAACTGTGATTCCAATCCAACAAACCATTATGTAGGACTTGTTTCCCAAAAAGGCGGTAATTTTACTGAAACATGCGGTACTTATAGAGCTGCTATATTTTCAGTTGGAAAATCATCAGTAGTACTCTCATTATACAAGAGTATTAAATCTGATTCTAATGCAAACACAAGAAAAATATCAATACTAAAACATGGCCTATCACACATCTATAAGCATTAGGGATACACATGATTAGTATACACCTGAATGAAAAATACATGAGTATAACAAAATGCAAAATATTCACCTTGTAAAAATATACTGCACACATTATCAATAAGGAAAACTTACTCCACTGAATGGCAAGATCATGAAATAAAAATATTTTCTTTAAAAAATACAGTTTTAAGATATTCCAAAAGTCTTTCAAAAATCCATTAAAATTATCAGTTAATCTTTTTTATAAAAAAAAACACTTATTCTTAAATTCCAAAAAACAATCATACGAAAAAATAATTTAATCCTACAAGCATTCAAAAAACTGATCATTTAAAAAAGAATCCAGTTTCAGCACCGACACACAAATTGATGAAAACCTCCAGCAAAATATTTTTGAGAATCATTCGTACTTTTGCAATACCACAGTGAAATCACAAAATCCATCCAGGCTGCTCAAAAAAATTCCTCCAGCAGCACATAAAACTGCCACATACTTCATTCGGATGAGTTCTGGACCACAATATTTTATGACTGGGGAAGCATCTTCCACACAAAATCATGGGCAATATCACAACCAGTTTCCATTGCAGTACCTTGATAACTCATTTAACCTTCTCACTGCCACCAGTTTTATGCCCTTTTTAAGATAAAAAATTGAATGGAATAAGTTTTTCTTCCTCCTTTTTTAAAATTAAAGATTTCCTTTGTTACTAATAAGCTGCCACCCAGCAGGTGTAGTTGTTAATGATGCTGACTGCAGCACTGATGGGTAGGGGTTTGAATTCCGGAGAAGACATGGATGTATGGATGTTTGTAAACGCACAGTGTCCAAAAGTCCTCTTGAGATGGTGGTGGTAGAAGAGGAGTGGCGAAATCCTCAGACCACCTCCAGAGTGATCTCACTCAAAATTGGTGCAGATGCTTAACAATTAGCTAGGTTAACTATACCTTAATCACCTATAATACTGCACATGTAGACAGAACAAACGTAGCTTTTACCTGTACCTGTTACTTGTGTTGCTTTTTTAATGGCAGAAAAATGATTTTAAAACTAATTTATCACTCATTAATTCAATCTTGATACTGAATCATTTAATTTACTTTTCCCCTTCTCATTATCATAAGACACAATAAATTTAGTTTAATTTCTGCTTCCAGAAACTGAATCTTGACATAAAAAACAATGAGTAGCTTAATTCCGTTTTCTTTTCATTCACTCAATGTGTGTTCTCCTTAGTCCACTTCTACTCAGAAACTCAATTAATCAAGAGCTACCAAAGGAAATTTTCATTTATTATTGAGCAACCTTTTGAAAATTTTCCTCTACCTAAATATATAGTAGTCTTGCATTAAAATGAGTAAGGAAACACACAGAATACCTCCAAATCAGCAATAACTGCATAATAAATACGATACACATTTAACATAAGCTTCTATACAAGACTAAATAATAATAAAATCACATAATAAATAAATTTAATTCATAGAAATCGTATTCTGTCCTACAGTATCTCTAACTTTTTTGTTCACATGTATTTGTGAAGGCAAAAATAGTGTATGATAAACATAAATGCATGAAATCAGCACATCAATATAAAAATAACAATATTCAAGACAGGCTGTATTCTCTTCACTGAAAAGTCAAAATGCCATAAGGTTAAATTTGCTGACAACAAAGATTCAAGTATACCTATTTGTCAAAAACCGAAATTTATAGTCCTGAAAATTTGAGATAACCAAAGTAAAATACAATATAATAAATATTTTCTTTATTAGTTACTGATGGAAAGATTTGACACTCAGCAAAAAATTCAATACAAAAGAAAATTAGAAATACACACAATTTCAGCTCCTAAAGAGTTTTTGTATTTAAAAAACAGCTTATTAACTTTATGAATATACAGATAAAGCAACTAAAATTTCCTGAATATTTTCAAGAACAATTCAACATTCTGAAACTTACCTCTAATGTTTCTAGGAATTTAAACATCGAAAGGTCAAAAGAAAGAGCATTGGGAACAATGTTACTATCACCAAAACAGATATTACTCCCCACTATCTTCAAATGTTTCAGATGTGATACAAATTCAACTAAATGTGCAATATCCTGAGTAGGGTTGTTAGAATCTGCAGACAAAAAAAAAAAAAAAAAAAATTAAACAAGAAAATTTTGACTCGTTTAAATTACAGCAAAAATGGTGTCGCCCCCAACCCCAAGTTAAATCTATAATAACCTTCTTGTTGATTGACCAATGTGGCACTAAGATACATATACCATTAAGAAAAATGTACCTTCCTTGACTCATTAGTTAATGGAATATTTTATACCTCTCTGGGGGACTTTTAAAGGGAAATGACCCATATTTATATTACACATGACAGAAATCCTGAAAACCTCAAGCAGACAGCCTGTTCAAATACCAGAAAAAAAAACTAGGTATACTATTAATGTTTAGTGGTTTTAACCACTTGCGCTATGACTAAACTTCATGGTTGCGGCGCCGTGCACTACAATATAACAAGTGGTAAAGTGTCTCATTTACGCCACTCCGTGTCTGTGAGTGCAATAAAGAGCTGTAACTCGAGAAATAAACAATCTCGTTGTTAGGCGACACATGCACCCCGTTATTTTCATTTTAGCGATAAATGCCTATGGACGTGGTGTTCACTTCACTCGCGGTTTGAGACAAAAGCATCTCGACATGCGTGGCATGTCTTTTTAGCGCAAGTGGTTAATCACTTGACCATCTTCAGTATCTTTGTATCAGATTTAAAACAGATTAATTCAAATATGGCAATTACAGAAAAGGAGAAAAACACAAAAAATTATTAATTACTATGTCAAATAACATATAATTTAGATCACAGTAACGTTAAACAAAAGGAGAAACAGGTTAAGTGACAATTGAAACACATCAAATAGCACACAAAGCATCAAGCTGCAAAATTCAGAAAAATATACATAATTTGGGGGGGGAGGGCTGACTGTCAGGAAATAAAAATATACATAAATAGGAATAAATAACAATTATGCTTTTTTTTCTTGGCGACAATTCTCTCAAAGGAAACAGCAGTTGGGAAACCACAAAATGTCCATCTGAAGTTAACAAAATCTGCTATACCTTTTAACAGAATTAAAAGTGTGTGTTTCTAGTCTAAAAAAAATTACTCATGCCCAAATGGAACAGTTCCTAATTAGCTGCTATTCATATAGATTAACTATCATTGCATTGGATGAGCATCATATCAGATAAAAAATTTATAAAAATAAACAAAAGTGTTCAGCAGTTTGCTGCATAGTGCATCATTCAGTAAGCATTCTCTGTAGTAATGCTGGTACATTAATTTATTATAGTTCTCAAAATAACCAGCATTGATACAAAATTTTATTTCAGCTCTATTAGTGCTACAAAAGATGCAATTTTTTCAAGATTGTGATGATGTCCCCCCCACTTGTTAAAATTCTGATGAATTCTTTGCTAAACAACTGTCTTTGAAGGCAGCTATATACAGCTCAGTACAGCTAAGTACCAGTCATGATGCTTGACACAAAAGTAGCATGTTTACTTATAGCCTTGGAAATCGTTTTTAAACATTAGATAGTGAAAATTAAAATCTTAAAATACGAAAAAACACAGTAAATCAATCTATCAATAATCTTTAATTTTTGTTTTATACTTGAAAACATTTTTGCATTCTTCTTTTCTAAAATGTCTTAAATGACAATGAAGGCGAACAAATGAAGGCATTGGATATATTAGCAAAGGAATAATTATTATCATAACTTAAGGCATAGCCAACCAAACTAGGAGCTAGCTTAGACAGAACTGTATGCAAAATGCAGTTTTTTTTTTCATGGAAAAAAGCAATTAATAGTATAACTGGTAGTTTTGACACTTTTTTTTTTGGTACAGTTCTCTCTTTCTGATCACTAGCGAAAAGCATAAATATTTTTCCAAGGTTATTTCCATATCCAGATTTGGTCAATTAGCTTCACATATTGTGGTTGGATTTTGACATATGTCACATTTTCCTTTCTACAAAACTTCACCACAGAATATTTTTGGTATCTTAGAGTAAAACCTTAATTTCTTTTTCTTTTTGACATATATAATAAAAGTCCAATAACTCAGCATATGTGGGGCTTTTAGAAATGCCAGACTATCAAATAAGTCAGAATATTAGAATTAAATTGTATAATAGCCCAAAATGTATTCCACCTCCATTATTGAATGTACTTGAGAGCAAAAAGAAATGGCATGTAATTCTACACATCTTACAAATCAAACTTATCAACAAATTTATCCATAATTAGCATATATTTCCATGCACAAGCTAAGAATTTTTGGACATCGTCATCTTTCTGTTATTATGACCAGATGACTCAGTTGCAATAGAGAAAAAGTTATTTGGTTTAGAAAGACCCTTCAACATATAAGCAAAACCTTGTGCACTTCTCAGCATCAGATAATTTGTTCCCAATGGCTTTTAACTTTAATCACATGTGACATCTTCTTAGCCAAATTTAGGATGATGGAAAACAGCCTTTCATAATTCATTGACATAGCTCATGTTTCGGTAATTAATGTTATTTTTTACTGTTTGGCAGACTAATAATAGCTAATAATAGACCACAGTATCCATAAAATCAGTGCTGGCAGTAGACAAAAAGATGGCCAAGATATATCTAAGCATCCCTCTTCTCACAATTTTTATCAGAACAGTCATGTTATTTGCAAAAAGTATGATCTCCATAAGCCATGCTAAATGTAATTTATAGATGTTGGAGATTGCACAAGCCTTGTCACCATCCAAAAGCAAGGAATTTCACCAGGAATGGTGTTCTTTTAATTTGTACAAATAAACACAAAGGTATTTACATTTCCTTCACTACAACTGTTTTTATATTAGTGTTCTCTACTTCAACACCACTATCCATCGCAGAAATAGGTGTTAAGGTATTACTTGAAGGGAAAAAAGATATGAATATTGTAAGAATATACGCATATCCGAAACCATAAAATCTTTTACTGATAACTGTATTTCACTGTATACACTGAATTTTCAAGATAAATGTTAACTGATACCTCAGTGTATTTTGGAATGAATAATTCTTAAAATTAATTACCTTTATCAACAACCAAAAGAGAAAATATGATGTAATTAATGATGGAGTCAATATTAGAGCCATGAAGTTTAAAAAATATTAATTCAAATAAGGAAGTTCCCAGAAAATAAAGGAGAGAGAAATGGTCATCCTAGGTCCTTAAGAGCTCTCAATGCTGTTTAGTTTTATGTTTCTAGGTTGAATGGCTTTAACAGCATAAATGCTCTTTAAAACAGTCACTCTGGATAATCACTAAACATAGAGAGAACTGTAGTAATGCGACAAAAATTACCTATGTTTCTTTGCTGTGGATCATTTTGAAAAATAATGACATAAAAAAGGCAATAAAAACTTACCACAAATACCTCATTTTAAAATGCAAAAACTAATTCATACAGAACGTAAAATCTGAAATGTTCTAAATGGCAAATTCTAAAGCCACAACTACATTAAAGATGATGCATAGTTAAAAAATAAAGCCAACAAAAATTTGCTTACAACATGTAGGCTCACACAGCTTTAAACGTTCTGAGATAGCATGCAACTGTAGAGGAGAAAATTTGTAGGATTCTCCCGTACTTATAATAACTTCTCCTGAAACAAAAACAGGAAAATGTTAATACAGTAGAAGTCCAGAAATCCGCAACACTTGGGACCAGAGGTTGTGCGGATTTTAGGATTTTGCAGATTTCAGGACAGAAAAGATAATATTCAGACTAAAAGTGCAAAATAGATAAGGTGTATTAGATACATTTAATTAAATTATTATATACATTAATACAATAATTAATTATATGCATTAAATTATTATTACATATATAAACTGATTATATTATATTGTTCATTTACATTAGGCTCCTCTATTTTTAAATCAGCATGAATCTGCTTCCCATTTTCTCTCAGGAGTAGTCCAGAAATAGGTACCCTATCACTCTGCTGCTGCTGGAAATACTTGTACAAGACAGCATCGAGGTTTGCCGATTTCGCCTCATGTAAAGATTTCCGATTCCGGTGTTAGAGTCACTGTTGCTGTAAAATTTCAACAGCTTTTCTTTATTATTCCGTATATCATACACAGTCGATGTGGCAATTCCATACGATTCTGCTATAAACCGAGCAGTAGTACCTGCCTCCATCTTTAGCAGAATTTTCACTTTTTTCATTACCGTCAATGCAACGTTTTTACATTTTTCAACGTCGCAAGCAGTAAAATCACGAGTGCATTTCTTATCTATCATTGTATTAAAAAGCGCTGAAATTTAAAATAATTTTAATTTATCCACAAAATATCTGGATAGAAAACAACAACATCACTAAACAATCTTGTGAAATAACAAAGCTCAGAAAGTACAACAACGTGATGCATGAACTTGAAAGAAGAGTTGAGTTAATCGTCTGCTTTTTTACCTTGATGCAGATTGGAGGGGGGGGAACTCTTATCATGATGTCAATAATTTGGTATTTCCATTATGACTCATTATTATCCAGTAAGTATTTTTTCTTCGATATTTTGTTCTCCATGTTGCAGTTTCCAGAACCTGTAAACTAAATGTTTATATTTTGAGAGGCAATGCAGATTTCAGAAGTTGGCGGATTTTCGGTATTTGACTGTAATAAAGTATTTTATTCAAATCTGGTAGTTGATGTTATTGAATAAAATCTTTGCCAAAATTGCAAATGCACAAAATGTAGCAGCTTCTATTCATGTAACACAAAAATAAAACAGTATATTGTTAATATATTATACAAACTAACAAAAAAATTACAACACTGCATGCATGATTCCTTTCACAAAGCATACTAATTTTTTTTCCCACACCTTGTATAACTTGCTTTTTTTGCATTGGGATCTTCAGTTTCAGAAAAGTTTCTTTAAAAAATAGACAAATTTGACCTTGTGTTTCCAAAACTTTGTAAATATTAAAACAAATTACTCAAAAAAAGATCAAATCATTATTACCTTCAGAAAAAAAGGTTTCTGACAGACTAGAAGTAATAGCTCGAATTTCCTGAAATCAAAGTTTATAAAAAATAAACGTTAGTGTATTTTGTACAAATTTATGCTTCAGTTACAAGAGTTCTATTCCAAAGTACATGCATTCTGGGAGAAATACATAATTATGTACTGGAAACAATAGTTAGAAAACAATATATATCAAAAAATAATCAGCCACTGATTAATATATAAAAGTTCTAATTCACTTGATAATAGGCTGATATTTTTGCACATTGTATCAGATTATAAATTATATATATATATCAATCACTTTATTTTCCTTTAGAAAAATTCTGATCTACTTATAACAACTTATGTTCATTCACTTTTTAAAAATATACAAGTTTAACAATATATTCTATACTATCATGACTCCCAGTCATACTGTGGACAGTATTTATTGTCTAAAGCATGTAATAATCCTATAATTTAGAAAAAAAAATCATAATTTTATCCTAGGAAATATATTATTTAAGATATCACAGTAAATAGCTTGGATTACCTTAGTACTGCTCTCATACAGAACTTTCTGTGTGGGAGCTTTATACGAACAATCCTTTCTGACAGCTTTATTGTATTTGTACTCTTTCCCTTGAATGAACCTATCTGCCTTTTGATTTACACGAGATCTTAGAATGGATACATTCTTCCCTCATTTAATTCGGGATTCACATCAGTTTGAATAGCCTCTGTTCTTGGCCCCTTAATGATTCTTCTAGGACTTCTCACTGGCCTCCCTTTCTTTTGTACATTTACTATGGTTCTTTTCAAATGTAGACATAACTCACCTGCATTATGCAATAACGAACTCCAATATGTTTCTTCTTTCTCTCCCTTTAGCAAAAATCAATTCTTCTTGTCATTCTGCCAGCTACAGATCTGGTCACTTTCAGTATAAGCACATGTTGGATAGGTTTTATGGAAGAAGGAGGAGGAAATTTTTTTAAATGGTACCTCAATGGCATAGAGGATATATTACTAGTTTTAAGCTTACTACAATTTTCCCATGCTGAAGAAACTGGAAAGAGAGCAACGGCTTGAGAATTTAAAGTGGAAGAGCAATGCATTTGACACTGGAGAGCTGAAAAAGAATTTAAAAATATGCCACAACGAAAGAGACAAAAGAATTGGTACTGTAACATGGCCAGATCTAAGGTAAACAAAGTAGACAAAGGAGCAACAATGAAAAGGAATAGCAATTTCGACTATAAAAAATCTCTTATAAGCAAAATTTATGGCACAACAAATGAACATAAATGACTTCAAAGGAGGGCGTTGCTGATGTAGAAGATTTATGACAAGAAAAAATATTTCTGTGCATACTAGAACTACAGTCGGGCAACCATTACAATTGGACTAACAGGATAAAAAAAGCATCTTTGATAAAATACGTGACAGATATTACTGATGAGAAAAAATTGTTCTGCCACAGATAATAAATATGGGTGAAACAACATTAGTCTTTGATTTTTCCTGCAAACAGAATTGTTGATGAAACTTGTGCAAAAACCGTCTCCACGCTTATGACAGAGCATGAAAGAAATTACACTATGTACATGTGTGTGTTAGCTTCAGCTGCAAACAGTGACAAGCTAAAGCCGATGGTCACTTTTAAAAGGAAAACTATTCTAATGGGAGATGTAAATATTTGTTTTACACATCCATAAATATGATAATTTACGGATGTGCAAAACAGTCATACATGAATGGCTAGTGTTGGCAATGTTGCATGACATCATATTTTTAACCAAAAGAGTTGTTGATAATGGATTTTATGCATTCTCAATTACTTGATTCAGTGAAAAACAGATGTCAAACAATAATTCCGCTTGGCTTATCAAACATCTTAACCAACATTAGATTTGTCAGCTAATAAATCCTTCAAAGCTGAAGTGTGAAAGTGGTGGAGCAACGAAGAATTACACTCTTATACCAAAATGCACAGAGCATCTTATGAAGAAATTGCAAAACAGGTAGGAAGTGAATGCACATAGGTGAAAATATCACTAATAACACGAGGATTCAAAGAACCTGAAATTATATCTCCGGATAAAGAGACTGCAAACAGTGACAATCTAGCAGACTATTTAGATCAGGATTTGCTAAATGTTTTTTATTCAGCACGTCAAGAATCAGATTTTGATGGCTTACAGTATGTTGTAATTCTTTTTGTCAGCAAAAGTAAAATTCAAAATTTTTTCTGTCACTCAATGTACCTCATGGTTGCAATATTTTTTATAACACAGTATAAATATTACATATATGGACTTCTTCAGTGGGTTACATTTGTGAACAAAAGTATATTTTCAACATTTCTTACTTATAACTTATTTCTGAGTAATGGTTTCATTTTATGCATTTTTCATAACTGTCAAGAATTTACTAAAATTTCCAAACATTTACATTCACCGTTTTCACAAGAAGTGCGAGTAACTTTTTTAAAACAAAAATTTTCTTCTCATTACAAACAACACTGCCACTAAAAAACTACAAGACACCATCATTTGAAACATACAAATTTAAATATCATCCAAAGAGTTGTAAATATATATATTGATTCCTGGCATATTCCCACGTTTTGATTACGAGAAAACTAATATATTACCTACTTCTAGCATATTTAGCTGTTATTTTTTGCGTTGAGTATATTGTTGTTTTGTTTAGAAGAAAACTAATCGAAACAATATACTCAATGCAAAAAGAACAATTAAATATACTAGAAATAAATAACAATATATTAATTTAAATATATAGAATTTCTACAATACACACAGGTCTACATACACTGAAACATGAATTTATCTAAAATATGTAAGTTTATGTTATCAAACATAAATGGCAAACATTTATTATTATTTGGCTTATTGAGCTCATTGTAAAAATCTACTGAGCAGTTTTATTCTCCTGCTTGCTCTAGTTGTAACAGTCTTTCTCAATAGTTGAAGAGAAACCTCTGCTTCCCCTTTAGATATCTGTGTCTTGGAATTGGAATCCCCACTGGGAGTGGATATTTTCACTGGATAAATTCCCTAGATTAGTTCTCCATACATTTAGACGAATAATTTGGACACAGTTGTTTCTTTCATGGTACACTTGTATAATATTGGCTATTTGCCAGAATGTTTTTCTTTTTCCTATGCTTTCAATGAGTGCAATATCCCCAACTTTGACCATACAATCATCTTTTGCTTTTTCTCAATGTAATATTAATTGACTTAGGTTCTCTGCTCTGAAACTTGTTCTCAATATGCCTTAAGTCAAGCACTCCCTGGGATGGAATGTCATTGAGAAAAATTGTTGGAGTCAGAGCAATGAGATCATCTGAATCCTCTGAAACATATGCCAGTGGCCTAGAGTTTACAGTGGCTTGCAGTCACATAACACATGTATCATTTCTTCATAACATAATAATGACTGTTCGAACACATGATGCAGTAGCTTCTTGACAATTTGAACAAGCCATTCCCATAAACTACCCCACCAAGAAGTTGTAGGAGGGTTAAACTTCCACTGAATTCTTTCAACTGAAGCATGAACTTCAACAATTTTCCAGTCTGCTGACTTAAAAGAGATTATTCGTTCCCATGAAGGGGAATTTAACACATGTTACAGAAATCTTTCAAGCATCATGCATGGCTAAAACATGAATACTTTTTATAAATGAAGTTGAATTTGATCAGTTTTCCTGACATTCAAACTATTTCATAAATATTCCTAAATACTTAAAAGCTTCATACACAATGGTGCAGATTATAATCACAATAATAATTTTCACTTATCTCAGTTTTTTGCTTATCTTGATCACATCATATGATTTCATGATAATTTTATATCAAAGAAAATTAATACAGACACTCATCTATTCAATTCTATTTTGCATCCTAGTATTTGTTGCTCCAGTTATATTTGTTGTTATAAACTGGATAGCTGGCATTCTACTGTATTACAAGTCAGCATTAAGCTACATAAATAATAAGAAAAAATTTTGACTTTTAACAAACAGTGTTCTATTACATTAAAAAAACTGTAGTACTTTCTATTAGCACTCTAACAATTACTATATGATCTTATATAACTACTCTTTAAAAAAAAAAAAAAAAAAAAAAAAAAAAAAAAAAATTTTCTTTCTGCAAGTAAACAAATAAATAAAAATGAAAACTACTCTTTGCTCAGAATGCAAACAATTACGACAGATTGATAATCACCGTTTGATATGATGAAACTATAAAATAAAAATCAATTTGCTTTCTATTTGGACTGCAAACGCTGTTCTTAAGTTAAAAACATCAGAAAGTAGCCAAAATTAATCACATTAATGCAGATTTATAGTAAATTCTTTATTATGCATCAATTAGATTTTCCCAATACATGCAATATTCTGCAGCAAACTTTGTTCCCCTCCCCTTTTTTCTTTCAAATCTTCTCATGTTTCAATAACACAAACTTTGATGTAGAAAAACAGCCAGAATTAAACAGATTAATGCAGTTTATGATACTTAATTTTTTTTATCTTCTTATGAAACAATTTTAATGTAAGGAACTTCAACAAATCTTTCATAGAACATGACTGTTTCATTACCTTTTAGCAAATACAAAGAGCTGTATACAGTAACTGAGCCATAATTTTCTAATATATATAATATATATATAGATATAGATATAGATATAGCTATATGACTAGGATAGAAAATAGATACATAACAACAGTTTCAACAACAATAGGTCTTTCTAGTGCAATTGAAATTGAGTAAAATTATGTTTAGTAATTAATATCATAGCAATATCTCACATTCTCATAGACAGTGATATCAGTAAATTTAGCACATTGAATTATAACTCACATAAACTTACATATTTAGGGAAATCCAAGAAAGTAGCAAGAGGCTCTGGTAAAAGGCTAAACTTGTAGATTAAAGTTTGAAGATAGAGTTCCAATGCTTTCTGTCGATTATTAATAAAAGATTCAGTCCTATTACCAAATACTTTTTTAGGAGGAAGCAGGTTTTTCTCAACAGAAAAATCTTTTACCATCTGCAAGTTAAAAATTAAAATATATGCAATGACAATCCAAATACATAATGTAATGAAGGATTCAGAGTACAAGTGACATAATGTCATCTTGGAAAAGCTCTGACAAAAAGATACATTTATTAAAAATATAACAAAAAATACTGAGAACACCAAAACATTTTTAGTAGCCTAGATATGAAACTAGCAATTAATATATATTAAATTCTGTAAGAAAAATACTATCTAGTTTTGAAATAACAAAAATACAACAGCGTTAGCAAAAATGGTACAGAAATGCACAGTATTAATGCAATAATCATCATCCTCATCGGCTAATTGATGTTGTGGAAGATAAGTAGAATAAGTTGAAACTTTTACAATTATGACTGGTACAAAAGTACTTAAGAACATAACACAAATCTTTCTTTTCCCCAAATGTCATATTACATTCAGTCTTTCAAAACTGCTCTTTTTCCAGAGCTGCAAGATTTTCGAGAAATAACTTATCTAAATGCAACCAGCGAAGATTAGGCAAACAATGGCATGATTTAAATTTATCTTCCAGCTGACCATCAGTAAACAATCCCTTTTTTTCCCAATTACTTCACTGTCAAATAAAATGCTCAACTGAGATATATTTACAGCTCAGATGCTGCATTTTACCTGCAATCAATTTTCATTTTAAAGGAACTGACTTTCTCACTTTTTAACTCTTCAATTACTCAATTCATGTTTCGTCATCCATATATGCATGGGAAAAGTATTATTCAAAACCAAATGTAGAGAATTAATTAAATAAGAAATTTTAACTATTAAAGAAATTCCAGAAATTTAATATGCAAATCGACTGGGAAACAAAATTATTCATTAAAAGTATACTGCTAATGTAATTAAGAGTTTAAATCCAAAGCAATTTACAAACCCTTGAATATTGGAACTTCCCCAACACGAATTACGCTTGTAAGCCAAAATAAACCAAATACAAACTATAAAAATACAAAAATAATACTAAAAAGGCAAGTAAATAGTAAGTTTTAATTTAACTTATCTTGTACGTCAGAGAAAGGAGTAGCATTTGCTAAAAGTGAGGTTGAATAGTTTGTTTTTGCTAACTTTGTAAATAGAGGACACTAATACTGTAAATAGAGGGCACTAATACTATGTAAAGATGAGTGCTAAGCTGCTACCTGTGTGATCTATTGTAAAAACCTATGCTGTAGACTCTAAAGTAATGAAAAATGCTTGTTCTGTGTGAAAAAATGTTGCTAACTGTTAAGGATTGTAAAAATATTGCTAACTGCTAAGAATTGTAAAAATATAAGTTCGAAAAAATGTTTTTGAAATAAAGTTTGAAAAACATTTTTTGGAGATTTTAGTGAATTAAAAATTCAAATAAACATTTTAATTGAAAATTTAATTTAATTTAAAATTTCAAAAATTTGAATGTTCGGAAATTTTTTTTTTTTTTTAAATTCACAAATTGAAAGAAATGGATAATGATTTTATAGTAAGAAATTTTTTGAATTAAACTGAATTCATTAAAACTGAAGTTCTACAGTAGTTAAATCAAAACTTTAACTAAATACAGGCCAAAGGTAAGGAAAATTAGAATAAGATAAAAATCTTCACTCAATTCGGGCTATAATTGAGACTTTTGAAAAGAGTTTGCCTTTCATTAGCTAAAGGAAAATATCCAGTATTGATTAAAAAATATACATATTTACAAATTAATTAATTAAATATTTACAAGAATTAATCCATTAACTCTTCAAAATCTTCCAGTTAAGGTTTAAGGTAATGTTATCATACGATAGAGAGTCAAAAAAATTAATAGAAAAGTTAATGCTTGCCTTTTTTAATATAGAAAATTAATAAATTGTGTTGGGATCTGGCTATTTACTTGAACATTAATTAACTTATTATTTCTTACTTTAAATCTTTTATTTCTGTATATATATATATATATATATATATATATTCTAATTATTTGGCTATAAAAAGTGTTACCTATTACTTTTTTAGAAATATTAGAGTTTCAATTAATTAGTTTCAAACTGGAAATCCCTCCTTTTACCATATAATTTAATTTTGATGGGTTTAATTATGAGCAGGTCTAGGTATTCAATATGATCTTGTTTCTTATTAGTTCCATTAAGTGTTAAACTATTTGAGTAAATTTTAAATTGTTAGAATATTAGCAGAATCATTATTGAAAGCTATATTATCATCAATGTATCTAAATGTATTTGCAAACGACTTTAATTCATTTATATTCAAAACTAGTTGGAATTATATATAATTAATCTTAGGAGGATCTTAGGATATATATAATTAATCTTTATATATATATATATATAATTAACCTTAGGAGATAATATAATCAATATTATTTAGTAAATAAATTATATATATATATCTATAGAGATATATAGATATATGCAAAATATAAAAAATATGATGGCTTTGCTCTAAGCGATTAGGTAACCTCTAATTAACTTTTCGCAATTTCAGAATCTTCACCCCTAGACCAGTACTTTCGAGATCATTCTGGCATGTTATGCAATCACTACTATAAATGCAGAGTTTGTGCTATTTTTCGTCAGGCTGCTCCCTACCATTGTTACTATAAGACCTTGTGCTGCTCTGTCCCTTCTTCTTCCCTTTGTTAGAATAGTTATGACATCGAAAGCTTAAATTTAACCTTATTTTCATTTAAATCATTACTGGATATGTAATTTTGGAGAATCTAAAAGAATAGTGATCTGCCATTTTAAGTGAATAAAGATATGGAGCTTTTAAAAAATGAAATTCTTCTGTGTCTTCAATTCGTCTGCCTTCCACATTGCAACCTTCAATTCGTCTGCCTTCCACATTGCAACGACCACACCCGGACTCTGATGTGACAAGATTGCTAACCTTCGTCATTCCCAAATGCCCTTCTTATTCAAATATCACAGATAAGTAAAAAGTCGCACAGGATAGTAGTGCGGCGAAGCTTCTCTCCAATGGATGTCTACAGGCTGTTTTTCAAGTGATTAGTGGTGTTGTGCTAATGTTTATGTTTTTTGGATATCAAAAATTTCAATGACTTCACAAGAAAGAAAAAAATAGAAAAGAATTATTAATGCATTCATGAACATCTCTGAGGATTTTATCTCCGGGTATACTATGTGGGTTGCTTCTAGGTCAAGGCCAAATCTGCACATAGTGTGTCAAACATTTGCAGACAACTCAGTGATTTTTTTCACTTTTTCTGTTGTGCTCTAAAATTTTGACACTTCAAAAACTTCATAGTGTGTGGATTATCCATACAAGATCAAACGCCAGCATGTCAACAAATAGGGAGGAATCAACTGCTATCGATATCACAAAGCTCCAGTTTCCCATTTTTGATGACTCTAAGAGATATACCCATGCATAATTATATTTTACTATACGACAGAAAATGTGATGCTAAAAATATTGGAGATAAGGACAAACTGCTAATATTCTCTGAGTGCCTGACAGGAGAAGCACTCGCATACTTTTTTCACAAATGTTAGACAAAGATTGGTAAGCAGTAAAAGAAAAATTCAGTACATACTTTTCCACTGCAGAGGCAGTGAGATAAATGACTTTGTATCTGCCACATACAAAAAATTTAATAACAATGATATATATTTCCAAACCAAATTACAATATGGATCTAGTTTAAAACTGAATGATGCTACAATGGTCAAAGCCCTCGACCAGGGTCTTCCAGAAGCCCAGCACATGTTGTTAACAATCCAGAAAATAAATACACCAAAGCAATGGACTGAGATAGCTCACAAACTGTTCCCTGTACCAGTTCCACTGGAGGAAGTACCAACTACAAGTAGTGGTCTACTACAGCAAGCTGGCATCAACATAATCAACATTTCAGAAGTGTGCCACCACAACGAATGTACTATCAATACAGGCCGCTTAATTATCAACCAGTTCCTTCTTAAGTTATCATAATACAGTGCCCAAATCTGAACAGAAAAATGAACTTGAAGACTTTTAAATTTCAATAGAATTTTCAATTTGAATTTATTGTTAAATATGATATTTACAAGATTCTGTTATTAAAAAAAATATTTATATCAAATTCTGATTTTTTCCACTATTGTATTTCCCTTGTTTCGCTAATTCTGTAATGCTTTCTTTTAAAAAGGCTTTTCTGTCACCAGCCCTTTTTCTCTTTGAAGGGGGAAATATGTGAAGATCTTTGAAGAACAAAAATATGTGACTCAAAATTATAACTTAGATCTTAAACTATATGTCGCGTCACGATCAAACTGCATGAGAGGTAAGTTTCTCTGTTACGGAATGGCAACGAGAGAGATATTGTTGTTAAAAAAAAGATGGATGATCGAACTCGTTGTAACAATCATTTTTATGGATGTTGCGTATTGTAAAATGAACCTATTACACTGTGCTAAATCGTATTAAAATGCTATATATTAAAAGATCTTTCATCTGATGTAAATTTTAACAAACCGCTCATTATTTTCTCTTAAACTCACAATGTTCACGGCATTTCTGGCACCCCCGGGTGGGCGTGTTTGTTGGAAACATGTCGGATGAAAGAATAGATAGGGTAAGTTGATTACCTTATACTTCCGTTTTGAAGTTATTGATTATTGTTTTACTGAAGTTTAAAATACTATTCTTGCCTAATTTTTATCTGAATATTTTAAACTTAAGACAAAATGGAAGTGATGAAAAGAAACAAAACTGCGCAACGTTCAGCTTTTACTAAAGCATATAAAAGACTAGATGAACTTTTAAATGATGATAATGTTGATTATGAAGAAGCAGAAATGTGTTTTTATTTGTTCAAGAAAAAGGCAGAAACATTAGAATTGACGCACAGTGCTTATTTAGATACTATAACTGATGATAAAGAATTCGAAACAGAATTTGAAATAACAGAGGACTATCGAGAAAAGGCTGTTAGGATACAGTTAAAATCGGAACGATTTCTCGATAATATTAAGAGTAAATTAAACGAAATCCAAAATACATCGTCAGAGAGTAGTCAGAAATTAGTTACTGATGAAAATACATGTAAAACTTTGTGCCAACGCCTACCGAAAGTAGAACTTTATAAGTTCGCAAGCGATTTAAAAATTTGGCTTAAAAGATCATGAAACGTGTAGCTGTAAAAAGGCGTTTTATATTCCGTTAGATGAAAAAATGTCTGCAGTAAAAAAGAAAGGTTTATGCAGAATATGCTTGGTTAAAGGTCACCTCAGTAACCAGTGTCGATCAAAGTGTTAAGTGTCAGATTTGTTCAAAAAGGCATTTGAAATTTTTTTGTCCTAGTCTTGAATGTAATAAGTCTAGTGAAATGCATAACCAGGAAAATGATGAGAAAAAAGAGAAAACAATCGATTCTTTGCATTCGCGTGCTACGAATGAAGTTTTTCCTTCAGACCCTAGTTGTGAAACATAGAGGGTAAGAATAAAAGGCGTAAAGTTAGATTAATGATTGATACGGGTAGCTCAAAAAGTTATGTTTTAAAGTCTACTGCAGAAGAAATGGGTTTTGACTTGCAATGGGAGGAAGAATTTAGTCACTCTTTATTTGGTGGAAAGAAAACTGAAATTTATAAACATCAATGTTACAAGATTTATTTGAGTAGCCTTGATGGTAAATATTCGTGTAAATTAGATGCTGTAGACCATGATGTTATTTGTAATGATATTTCAAGCATAAGATACGGTTCTTGGATTCGCGAATTAGGAAATAAGGAATATACGCTTAACCGATGATACCCAAGGGAATCCAGGCCCTATTGAAGTACTGTTAGGGGCAGACGTTGCAGGGAAGTTATTTACTGGCAAACGAGAAGAACTAAGAACAGGTTTAGTGGCTATAGAAACAAAATTGGGTTGGACTTTGATGGGTAAAGTACCTCAATCCGAACATCAGCACAATGTAAATATGACTATAGTTTCTATGTTATCTCAAGAAGACCTGCCTATTTCATCGTTGTGGGACTTAGAATTATTGGGTATCCGAGATCCTGTTGAACAAAAAACTAAAGAAGAGTCAAGAAGAGCTATTATGGTTCATTTCCAAGAAACAGTTCGTCAATTAGAAAATGGTAGATACGAGGTTGATATGCCTTGGAAGATTGAGCATGCAGTCTTACCTGACAATTATGACCTATCTTTGAAAAGACTCGAATCTACTACGAAGAAGTTGGAAAAAATCGGATATCGTGAAAAGGTATCATGAAGTCTTTAATGAATGGCTGCAGGAAGGAGTGATTGAAGAAGTTCCCCAAAAGGAGTTGTCTTTACCCGTTGTTCATTACCTCCCACATCGTCCAGTCATTAAGGAAACGTCCTCACTATCTTCCATGAAAATTAGACCCGTTTTTGATGCTTCGGCAAAGCTTTCTAATCAGCCATCTCTAAATGATTGCTTAGAGACTGGAATTAATTTGATTGAAACTATTCCGTCTATTCTAGCAAGATTTCGCTTACATGAAATTGGTGTGATTTCAGACATCAGAAGAGCTTTTTTACAGATATCTCTAAATGAAAGAGATCGAGATTTTTTACGATTTCTTTGGTATGGTGATGATGGTAGAGTGAAGACATTTCGTCACACCCGTGTGGTATTTGGCATTACTTGTAGTCCATTTTTGCTGATGGCGGTTATTGACCATCATTTATCCAAAGAAACGTGGAAAGAAAAATATTCTGAAGAATTTCTTAAAAAATTACAAGATAGTTTTTATGTCGATAATTGCGTAACTAGTGTACAAAATAATGACGAACTAGAAATATTCATCGAATCTGCAACTAATGTAATGAAAGAAGGAATGTTTGATCTCAGAGGATGGGAAAGTTCTGGCATTCCTGCATTTTCAGAAAGTAAAACATCACCGGTATTAGGACTGGTTTGGGACAAAGATTTAGATACCTTAGAAATAGACACCGAATTTTTGAAATTTGATGAAAGAGAAAAGGTAACTAAAAGGAAAATGCTTTCACTAGTTAGTCGAGTATTTGATCCCATAGGTTTCCTTGCACCTGTTATGATTCAGCCTAAGATTTTGCTGCAGGCCGCTTGGAAGAGCAAAGAATCATGGGATGATGAAGTGAATGATGAAATAAAGAAGAATTTTTTAAAATGGGGAAAACAACTGAAATACCTCAAAAATATAAAAATTCCAAGATGGTTAGGTGTGATGAAGGAATCCAATTTAAGTATCCATACTTTTGTCGATGCCAGCAAGACAGCTTATGCGGCATGCATTTTCTTAAGAAGTGAATCCAGTATGGGTTCAGTGACTGTTCAATTACTTCAAGCCAAATCACGAATAACTCCAACGAAGACTATTACTATACCACGACTTGAACTTAATGGCTGCTACCATAGGTGCTAGGCTGTTTAGTTCTGTGAAGCAAGCTCTAAAACTTCCCAACATCAAGACTTACTTTTGGACAGATTCTTCCACAGTTCTTGTGTGGATAACTCGTCGAGAACAGTGGTCGGTATTCGTTACAAACAGAATAAGTGAAATTAGAAAATTGACAATTTCGGAAGATTGGTTCCATATTTCAACTGACCAGAATCCAGCAGACATTTTGTCAAGAGGTTGTGGACCTAGGCAACTTCAGAAACGCAAGTGGTGGCAAGGGCCAGCCTGGTTGAAGAATCCGAAGGAGCAGTGGCCAAAGTCAGCTGTAAATATTAACGAAAAGAAGTAGAGATAGAGAAACGAAAGTCAGTCATCTCTGCTAGTAACACAGAGCTAGAGAGTTCAATTTCAACTTGCAACTTAAGGCCAATAAGAATGGAACGAATTTTCTGTGAATGTATTCAAGAACAATTGAAGATACTAAATTTTAACAAAGGAACTAAAATAATGCTCTGAAAACAATTAGATTGGACTACAATTGAAAGTGAATTTAGAGTCAACGAAATTCGTTGGAAGTTTAACCCACCCTCCTCTCCATGGTGGGGAGGCTTCTGGGAACGCTTGATTGGGATTTTGAAAGATCTTTTGAGAAAAAATCTTGGACGCTCCTGTTTGTCTTACGAGGAATTGCAGACTCTCGTCTGTGAATGCGAATCTATCATGAACAGCAGACCGTTAACTTACATATCCGAGGAACAAGATCTGAAGACCTTGACCCCCTCAATGTTTCTTCAGGACATTCCATTAAATGATGTTCCTGATTTGGATCAAATTGAAAAGACTAATATTGTTTTGAGATGGAGACATATTCAAAAGGTTCGTGAAAATCTAAAACGAAGGTTTAAAAGGGAGTATCTGGGTTTCCTTCGTTCTTCAGTTAACAAAAGAGAAGATAAAATAAATGTAGGTGACATAGTGTTAATTGGTACAGATGATAAAAAAAGGCTCCATTGGCTGCTAGGGAGAGTACTGGAACTCTTTCCAGGAAAAGATGGAATCATCAGACTTGTGAAACTGCGAACTGAAAAGGGAAACATATTAAGACCAATCCAACGACTGTACCCTTTGGAATTGACCCCAAATTACGAGCAAGTCGTATCGGAACCTCAGAAGGTTCCGGAAGTGCTGAAAATCCTGAGCTTAATACTGACTCTAATGAAACTGTTCGCGTGTCTCGCTCAGGACGAAAAATAAAACCAGTTAAAAGACTGGATTTATAAACTTCTAAACAAACTTTTGAACTTTCTGTGTTTGAACTCTAAAATATTGATTTCAATTTGCATTCTAATATTTTGAAATATTTCTATTATTATTATGTACGTTATTGTTATCTCAAAATTGTATGTATGTATTATCATTATATTACTGTTTTGAGTTTGTATCCCCAAACTCAAGGTGGGGAGAATGTCGCGCACTATCGAAACTCCATGAGAGGTAAGTTTCTCTGTTACGGAATGGCAACGAGAGAGATTGTTGTTCAAAAAGATGGATGATCGAACTGCGTTGTAACGATCATTTTTGAGGATGTTGCGTACTGTAAAATGAACTTATTACACTGTGCTAAATAGTATTAAAATGCTATATATTAAAAGATCTTTCATCTGATCTAAATTTTAACAAACCATCTTTTTTCTTAATCCAAGTCAAACACCCTTTATTTTCCTTATTTTAAAATGTATCTCAGGATGCATTATTGCAGTGCTGATCTAATTGTAATACAAAAATTGACTCAAACAAAATTTCTTTGGGTTTTCTGCTAATATATTGTTCACTCTACCCTGCTAAGATGTAACTTCACTGTCTTACTAGCTTGCTTGTGCAGTAATATCAAAAATGTAAATGCTCTGTGAAAAGGCATGACTAGAGTGCCAAGTGATTGTGGCCACAAACGTCAACTGGAAAATAAAAATGGAATTAAAACTGCCTCGACTGCCAAGTTTCTTAGGTATTACCAAATCAATATATACTACAGAATCAAAATGCTTCCTCTTCAATATGGATCTACTTACACATCAACAGTGCGGAGGCCTTTCCTTTGCATTTATTATGTCATGTGTGTATATATATATATATATATAATATATTATATATATATATATATATAATATATAAATGATAAGCTAAATAGTAATCAATCATTTAATATTATCAATTACAATAATATAATGCTCTGTAAGACTGTCGGACTTAATTAGTTTCAGAAATAAGAGACAAAAACATTTAAGATAATTTTATACATGCAAGAATCATATTTTTCATTCTTTTATATAAAGCTCAGAACATCCATGTTACATATTGAATATATGAAGGAATTTAACATAAATAATAAAAAAAGTGAAACTATTATTTAATGCATCAATTTACAGAACAAAAGAAGTTTTACTTTTTCATGAAGCTCCACAAACTGCCTGTACCGCCTTATTATGTACCACTTATAAGGAAATATATGCACTTCAATAATATAAGCCTATAACGAAATTTTAGAAACAAATACGTATAAATACATACACAACACTGCACAAATACATATATACGTATATATATTTATACATCAATATTCGAACATATACAAAAAGCATCAAACATATCTTCATACTTATAAGAATGCTTAAAAACATTAAATATTACTAGGGAATGGATTTTAAAGTGCAACATCTTTTAAAACATACAGCTGTTTTCATAGAGATAATCTGAAATATGTATGTCAGGATGCCAAAGAAAGCAAATTCAACACCAATTTAACTGCATCTTTTTCTGGGGTTGCCCCTTCAGCTTCGTTTTCTACTCACATGATCATAATGTGACTCGTGTGATCCACCTTTTTCTCTCATGCGACTATCATTTTTTATGAGCCTAAATAGTTCCAGTTGTGCCATCATTTTAGAAGCTAGAAAACAGCAGTCATCCAGTGAGTTAAGTGCAAGTGTCACCATAGTCAGTCTTATAAGGTAAACATTCAAGGAATGCCAGTCTATAAGATAACAATGTTGCATTCAAACTGCTTCTTGGAAGTGTAAAAATTAGTACCTGATAACAGCACTCAGAGGAGGGAGGAGAATGGTATACAGCCATTTTATAAGAATGTATTCAAGATAATAAAAGAGATGGTCAGCAAGCACAAAGTGGGATTCATGTTGTCTAAAACCAATGAAGAGTTATAAAGATATATCTTGAATATACTGATGATTCCCTTACCACCTAAATGGGTGAAAGCCATACTCTTAAAAATGTACCAACTGAATAAGATAATAATGTGCTCATTCAATGTTTCTTGAATGAATTAATGGTCAAAAGGCATATGATACAAAAATAGCAGGCTTCTGGTGACGAATCAAGATTCTACATGCTTTAAGCTGAGGAACATATATCTCAATCTCAACCATGGGACTTACACTGCATACAGAATAACTGGATTTATGAGGGTATCAGGAAAGAACAGAGAAGGATAAATGACTTCACTGTTATAATGAAGAACTTTCTTAAAGAGGCTGCTGTTTTGTTTGTAATAGAAAGAATCTGGTCTTCATATACCAGAATTTTCCATTATAATCAGGTAAGGTACTTGAGTCAGATGTTTTCTTATCGGAAAACTTCAGAAAAGTCAAATAGTTCATATCGGCATTAAATTCAGTGGAAGCAACAGCCATCAAGCATGCTTGCCAAATGCTCAGAGGCAAAAGCCTAGTTAGAACTTTTCAAGTCACACATCCATACGTACCTGTCTAATATGATTTCATGGTTTGAAAGAAGAAAAAGTGGGGGAGAAAGAGCAGTGGAAAAAAGTTCATACCTATTAGGGACAACTTCAATGTATTTGCAATGCTAAATTTGAATTATATTTGAAGAAGTTTCTAAGCGTGGAAGTTTTTTCAACTTTGACTGAAGTTTCATTTCATGTTCTTAAAGAAATGTTCTATTGTATTCTAATGATGCTGAGCAGGTTTTTCCAAATACAAGTTACAAATACTTCTCAACTCAAAGTGCTAGTGATTTTTTTCCAAAACATTGAAATCCTGAATATTCTCTAATACAACAGATTTCTTAAAACACAGCCAAAGACATGTTTATTTCTGCAAGATTGTCACTCATATTATCTATTACAGTGCCTAGTTATCACTGATTCAGAAATCAATAAAAAAAAAAGGTTTTAGAAATGAATCAGTTATTTTATCAGCAATAAACACCTTTCTAAATGTGTTTATACATTTTCAGAACATCTCTTTTCTTTCTCAACAAAAATTTTACTCCTTAAAATCTTTTCTTTACACATTACAATATACTTTTTTTCCTTGAAAGCACCAAAAAAAAAAAAAAAAGTAAAAAATAATAATAACTGCTAAAAATGAGAACTCTAATATTACCAAAATTAATTAATTTTAAGAGACTGAGCATTGAGCTAAGGCAAAGCTCATCAGGTCTATATACCTCAGCTTCATTCTAGTTTTGATTCTAGCACCCCAGGAGATGTAGTAATCTGGTAGCTTTCCATCCATTTCTACCTTTTAACTTTTGAAAGAATTTCTTGATTGACAAATTTTAAGAGCCTCAGTATGTATATATCTAAATATACAGGATATGTCAGTAAAACAGCCAGAAACTTTCAGGAGGGATAGAATACACCTAGGTGATGGAAAATCACATAGCAATGCATGGTCAAAAAGGCTTTCCTGACGTGGTAGTGACAAGAACACAAGAGGGGGAAAATATGAAGAGGGTAAGGAAACATGTATATTATGCTTAGTGCAGCAGAAATCAAGAAATCAGAACAAAAATAGACAACAATAGTCATCAAAGCAGGTGTTTCAAATTACTACCCCAGACCCTGATGCAGGCCTCACACTTTCAGCACATGGAAATCTGATGTTCTGGAAAATATCAGGCATGTCCTGGACTTCCCCAGCAGCTGCCATGATGCACACAACAAATCCCTCAGCACTTCTAATGGGGATTTTGTACACCAATGTCTTGACGTATCCACAGAGAAAGTAATCAATGCAAGTGAAGTCTGGCGGTCTTGCTGACCAATGCACCGGACCACCCCTGCCGATCTTATGTTAAGGATACATTTTGAACACCTTCTTTGATGAGGATTGTTTTTGATCTTATTTCTTGATTTCCACTAAGCTTAATAATATTCTCACTCTGTTTGTATCCTTTTTTGTGTCGTCACTACCGCACCAGGAAAGCGTTTGCGACCATGCACAGCTACGTGTTTTTCCGTTTGTCTAGGTGTACTCTATCTCTCCTGAAAGTTTGTAACCAATTTGCTGAAACACCCTGTACATAAATATAAATATTCAAGCTTTACCCTTATTTAAACCAATGGTATGGCTTTCAGCACGCCCACCACACAAACCCTAATCTATATTTCTTAAACAATGAAAAAAAAATTTAATTCCTTTGTGAGGTATGAACTTGAAATTTAACCATATTTTGTCTCAGAAAAGATGCCAAAAATCACTAAGAGGAAACTTGTCTATTTTTGAATGTGAAATGAAAGAGAAGCATTTCAAGCAGTAGAAATTGATAAAGCATGCTTTCATTCTCAGTTAAAAAGCACAGTAAAATATTCTTGATATTAAAAAGTGAGATAGAAAATCACAAAAGTCATCTTTTCAGTTGAAAAATGCCATATATAGATCAATTTTTCTCATGATCAAACAATCAACACAAAATTTATGAGACATTACTAAAGAAAACATGCTAATGAACATTTTAGAATCAAATCCATATAATAGGAGGCATCTAATGATAGCAAACCATAAAAAACTTTAAAATAAATAAAAGTATCAATAGAAAATTTCTTAAATTATTACTGGAAAGAAATCTATTCAATTACTAAACACATTTCAAAATTGCTGTGTATACAAAAATATTAAAAACAACATTCAGAGTAATTATATTAATAATTGTGATCCTGAAATAAAATTATTTACTGCTTAATATAAATGACTGTAATGAAACATTAAATTACTAGATTTGCATAATTTAAATTATTAATGAATTCATGGGGAAAATGCTATAGGACTATTCTTAATATCAAGTGATTGTTCAAAACACTTCAAGACTTGAGTAAATGTCTACAGATTGCTGCATTTTCTAATTCCTGATTAAAAGAATGCTCAACATTTCTTTCATATGAGATAACTTGCAATAATACAATTAAATCAGTAAAATAAAATTAACTAATCTTTACTTTATCTGGCAAGTATAAGTAAAACGAACACTGGGCTATAAATAAAGCATATTTCTTTTTAATTTAAATTAACTGAAAAGAGCAAAAGATTTATACTGTGACCAAAACAGAGGACAAAAGAAGATCTGGATTGAAATCTCACTTTTTGATGAAATTTGAAATTTATTTCAAATAAACCTGAAATTTATATCGGATAAAATCTGCACACAACACAGGACAGTCAGAAATAAAATTTCACCATAAAGCTTTCATCACATTTAACTCTTTTTTTTTTTTTTTTTATTTTTTTATAGTCAGTAATATTTTTTAACCTACAGTCAGCTTAAATTATATTTCTTATTTTTTTCTTAATACCTCTACAAAATAAATAATATTGCATTTGCTCTCAACAATAGGGTAATTTTACAGCATTAGGAGCGGGAAAGGGGAGTTTGACTGATAACTCTACTGAAGAATACCTTCCTTAAAACCCTAATCTCTCTTTCATCAAAAAGCAGCAGATACTCAAACTCATGTTCGTTCTTTGAACTACACATGTAACAGTGATATAGTCTGTAATTTCTGCTTCTTTTAAGAAAGATTTTAATGTGATAACATCTTTAAAATTGGCACCAGGTACCCAAAAACTCACACATTATGAAATCAGTTTTAATTTATTTCACAAAAATCTCCATGACATTATCATTTAAGCAGGACTGGTTTGATATCATTGTATACAGCATGGATGAAAGATTATCATGCACTGTTGCAACAATCAGTCTCTTACACACAAGCATTAGCTAATTTAAAGTTGAATTCAAGATTATATATATAGCTTTTAGGCACATGATCCCAGTGTGTTTATCTAGAAAATAAACACATTGGGATCATGGGCCTAATGTATTTATCTAGAAGATAGTGCAAACAAAATACTACAAATGATACATTTAGATGAATAAAATATAGAATCTATCATATAAGAAAGAACTATTCCAGGGTAAAAAATCAGACCGAATTTATTAATGCTCAATTATATATAAAGAAAGTACAAACAAAAATCGAAGAAACAGGAGTGACTGGATAGCTCGAAATATGAAGAATATAGAGAGGTGCCACTCACCCCAGCAAAAATGGAGTGAGTTACTCAGGTTACTCATAGAGAACAAAAATGAATATATGCTTTAAATCAACTGCATTTGTATTACAGCCTAGTGATGAAACAACTGTGATACCACTACAGTAGGGATTCCCAACTCTATGCCTGTGGGCAACATGACGCAGATTAATCGTACCACTTGCAGGCATTTTACGGTGTAAAGCACAAAATAGCAATGTACTTCCTAACCAACATCCAACATATAAATAAGCCCTTAAAAATATTTTCCCATTAGTCAAATTCAACGCAATCAAGCAGCCAATCACGTCATAATAGGGTTCCCATAACATTCAACTACTCAGGTTACCATAAATGAAACAACAAATTGGAAATAAAGGAAACAACAAACTTGGCGATAATCCAAGGGGTTCCCTAAAATGGAGACTAATTGCAAAAGATAAGTCTTTAAATACCAATTTAACTTTATGAATGAAGTGATATGCCATCACATTCCCAGGTACTGGTGTTTGAAAAGTGTGTCCTCATTTAAAGTAAAATTTCTATTTTCTTGTCTGGAAACTACTAACAGAGTTTTATGTATGTAGCTAACAGTTTCATGCTTCTTTTGATAAGAAAACCTTTTGTGAGATTGAATCAGTAAGTACTATATTAATGGAGTACCAATAAAATTAGAGGTAAAGGTATACATTAATTGGTTCTTGCGTATTAACGCAACCACCTTAGAAGAAGTGGCCAAATTTTTAGAATGTGACAAACATGCGCATAACCATTCTTCCAGCAACCATGCTTATAACAATTCTGCAGTCAGGCAAGACTGCCATTTTCATATGCATTCTTTTTTGTTCTACTCCACATTTAAATATTTTTAAAGCAAATTATGATATTTTTGCCTTAAACTTAGTTTCAAAATATGAGCTTGTGGTATTTGCCAGCAATGGAAGAAACTGCAGAAAAATTTCTGCGCAAGTACAGATTTTTGTTGAAAATTTTCTAAAGGAAACAATGGGGAAATGTGTTTTCTCAACAGCCACTGTTGCTAAAGCTTGCAAGAAGCCACATCTCCGCAACTGTCTGATTTTTTTTTAAGCGAAAACATAATGCTGTAAACTTCAGGAGAAGAACAGTAAAAAAAATTACAGAATTTGAAAGAATGTAAGTGTTTTAGTTTTTTAACGTATAATGTAATCCTTATTTAATAATTAAAATTTCTATTTAAAGTTGCAAAAGCATGTTTTCTTTTCATATGTTGATAATGTTTACCAATTTAGGATAAACATATGTGCTTTGAAAATATTTCCAAAAAAAAAAGTCGTGAAAAATCACCGGTTAATCTTTGGATTATGGTAACTTGGCGACCAACCCTGCTACAGCAACCTGCTAGTTTTTTTTTTTTTTTGGATGCCATTTTGTTTTCACAAAGTAAAAGCTTTTTTTTTTTTTACTCAAGATTTTTTTCCAACAATCTGCTAGCCAAATTACGCTTATGCTAGAACTTTTATGGAACAAAAGTGCTTAATCATGATGAAGATTAGGTGCGAAATTGGAAGAAAGTGCAGAATCGCCCACTGCTTGCCGCGTTTTTAAGAATTGCACATATACGGTATCATCCATGTACACGTCGACCTATTTTCACTTAAAAAAACATCCCAGAATTGCAGAAAAATGGCCTTGCGCACACTCTTGACGTTATCCATGTACACTACTAAAGTCCTAGCTAGTAACCTTTATCGCCTTACCAAAAATGTTGCCAAACTACCTGTTACCATATTCCAAAAATTAGCCAAATCACCAACTTACACCCAATCAATAACTTCTACCTTTTCATCTGTAAAAAAATGGAAAAATTTTGCCCAGGTGGTTGTGTTAATACGGAAGTAGCCATTAGTTAACACTACATCCAAATATTTCGAGACTGTTTACCAGCACTAATCTTCCATCACGAAATAACTCATGAACATTTCAACACTTGATTAGATTTTTTTAAAAGAAATCAGTACAGAAAGTGCATGTACAGAACTGCCAAACAATTCCCTCTGCGCAGGTAGTATTTGTGTAGGCTCCCAAGTCTCATTTAATTTCATTACGGTATTTCTGACATGTTACTACAATTTAATTCATATTTGCACTTTTATAATATTACTTACAAAATCACAAATTTCAAGGATTTACTAAGATAGGAAAACGTAAGCAGCTGATTTTTTCAAAAAATTTCAGGATACACCAATTTGTGGCAGATTTGCTTTAGAAGCCTCCTCATCTTAGGATACATAATAGTTTATTATTTCTTTAATTAAATAATAATTTGGGGGGCCTTTTAACTATGACTAGTGCAGCCTGGTTGGAAAAGACTTCAACTGCTAAAAGAAAGGCCTGATACAATATATGTAAAAAATCCTACTTGAATGTTTTAATATCCTTTTTCCCCCCTCCAGTAATTTTTCTACTCTCACAGATTTATTAAATAATATAAAAAGTAATCACTGTGTAATATATGTTGTTACATGCAATTATAAACTAGACGTAAATAATAATTTATGACAACTTATAAAAATAATGAAGAAATATTTACTAGATAAGAGCAGTTTTCAAATAATTTCACCAAAGTAAATTTTAACAAATCATTCAATTAAAAAATACCTCAAAATATCTGCCATTCACCTTCTTTAAATAAAATTACACTGCACAATTTTCAGCTTAAATATAATGTCAAGTAACTTATGCATCATTAAAAGAGAAATTTCCTGCCGTGAAAAAATCCAATCACTTCTTAAATTAATAAGGCACTAGCTAGCACACCAAGTAATAACAGATCACACTATTTGACTTTTAAGAATTTTCTTCCGTCCTTTCACTACTTGCTTGCAAGATACTAGCTTTTAATTCCTTTATAAATTTACTAGTTATAAAATGATCAAAACAAATATATATATTCTTCGTAAAATTAGGAATTTCCTTCGGCGACTAGTGGCGAATTACATTTTACCGATTCTTCAGCTAACGAAATACATGCTTTTAATTTCCATATGGTGCACAAATTGTAAACTATCGAAATATATATTTTACATATATTTTGGCACCATCTTGATATATTTTAATGCAGATTTTCGTACTTAGGTGTACACATTAGCAAATTATATAGATATGTCCTGAAGAAATAAATTCATACCGTAAAGCCATCCTTATTTTGCGTTCTAGGAATACGACATATATCAAGAGCTTTTTCCCAACTATTTACAGGAACATACACAGCCATATACAAACAGTATCGGGTTCTTTCTTTTCTCCTCCTCTATGTTTTGTTTCAGGTTGTTTGTTTACACTTCGCGCAGCCTACGAAGTGAACCAGCTCTCCAGTAACCCTACTCGTAACTCCAGAATTGAGCGTTTTTTGCTGTTTATACGGATAACAATCTTTCGGAATCCGTATCCGGAAATCTTTCTTGTTACGTACTGCAGACGACAGATGAACCAAAGAAGTATCCAGTGACTAGTGTTAATAATGCGCATAACGCATTACTTGTTTTGTTAGTATAATTTAGCAACTTGTGTATGGCAACAGTACGAGATATGAGGTTTGCAGATATATGCGACGACAACAAGGAGGTTAAACCTCCTTGGACGACAAACGCTGAGAGTTTACGGAAGTTAGCGGGTCTCACGTGACCGATGGCAACACTAAGAGGTTACCGTAATTTGCGCCAAAATTGAAAAATGAAGCCAAATGTAATTTTTCGAAGTAAGCAATACACGTTTTCGCCATTTTGCTTGCACGTGCTGCTGTGGGGGAAGCAAGGTACGTAGTATTAGCGCTGATATTTTGTGTTTTATTTATCTTATTTTAGTTATGTGTTTGTCTAAGCAATCTGAAAAGATGAAAATACTCATAATCGGGAATTCTATGATTAAATCTTTACAAGAATATTTGTCTGCGAATTTACCTGATTACGAAGTTGATTTTCGTTGCTTTCCAGGAGCTAGGATTGAAAGGTTGACACGTGAGATTGCCTTTATGAACAACCATTTTCATTTAGTTTTTGTCCACGTTGGTACCAATAATTCAGATGAAATTCATCGTAAATATGGTTGTCTATATAAGGGAATTGAACGATTAAACCCGAAGGTCATTCTGTTTTCAGGTGTTCTCCCACGATGCCCGGATTTATATCGAGATTGTAACACGTATCCCTACAAGAACTTAATAGGAAGATACTAAACATAAATTCAAGATTTCTCGCAACATACGAAGGTAAAGATGGGTTTTTCTTTTGCAGCTCTTTTGACTTATTCTTGGAGTACTTGTTTATCCAGAGACGGTTTACACCTAAATCGGAGAGGTAATCAGCAGCTGGGGAAAATTTTTTGTAAAAGATATCAGGATAAGTTTGACTGTTGCAGAGGTAAGTGCACCATTTTGTTCTACATCCCTTAGCAGTTTCCCAGCATTAACCAGTATTCCTTCTGTTCTGAGTACTCATTTGGGTAGTAATCTTGGTGCTTCTGTTTCCAAACCACTCTTTTCAGATGTTGTGAAACGTTCTTTAGTTTCCAGTGTTCGGGTTTGTAATTCTAGAGATTTTTTGTGCCATGTTTCTTCTTCTAAACAGCTTTATTCAGATGTTTTACTAGCTGTGTTTTGAATACTAATCCCAGTATTCCGAGTTTATCAGATTTTCCACTTCTTGAATATTCACTTGGCACTAGTGTAAATTTTTTGGATCCACCTCCTAAGCCACTTTACTCAGATGTTTTAAAACATGGATTTTCTAGTATTATCATCTCAACCTGCAGGCTCTTTGGATTCCAATTCATCATCATCTCATCTTGGTATCAATTTCAATTCTTGTACTTCCATGTTGAATTTTCCAGTTTTTAAGGTTTCATTTGTTTGCTCTGATTCAGATTTGCAGAAGGCTACTATATCTGTATCTAAATTTTCTTTTATGTCGTTAGTCACTTCTCAGCCTACTGGCTTTTGAGGCTCTGTTTCATCTATCTACTCAGCTTGTCACCAATTCCAATACTTGCCCATCAGTTGTTGGTTCTTGTGCAAATTTTAATTCTTACCATCCATATTTTCATTTTAACAAGTTTTCTATTCTTAAAAATTATTCAGAATGTTCTAACATTAAGTTTGGGGGTGCAAATGATTCTAATCAGGGTGAAAGTAATGTACAGAAATCTGAAAATGGGTATGTTGAAGAAAACTGCAAAGTTATTACCTCTGTTAACCCAATATAAAGACTATAATTTGTCCATGTTGTAAGAAAAGATTTCTCTTGTAAAGAAACTTTATCAAGACACAAACGTAACTGTAAAATTTTAATGGATAATTTATGTACTACCATAAAGAATGATGAAATAGAAAATAAATATCCAAGAACGTGCGAGGTATGCATGAAGTCATATGCTTCAAGACAGTCATTTTTTAATCATAAAAAAAGGTGTAAATCTGTGTCTTCTGAAATTGATTCAAAATCATATATTTGTGACAACTGTGAGATAGACTGTAAAACCCGCAGTAACCTTTTTCATCATAAGAAGTTTTGCTGTTCTAAAAATAATTTAAATATTCGTAAACCGTGTATTTTTCCTGATTGCAAGGCATCCTTCCAGTTTATTAGTGATCATAATAAACATTTGGCTGAATTTCACAATTGTGAGATGGATGTGAAGGAGCTTACATTTTCATCAATGGTGGAGTTTCAGCTGTGGTTAGAATGTCATTCTAAGGAAACATTCAGTTCTTTTAAGAAGTGTTCTGGGAGTAAACATGTAAAGTTAATAAAGCATACCATTATTATTGTTGTCACTTCAATGTAACACAAAAAAAAAAAAAAACCAGTGCCAATTTCAAGTAGAAAAAATCTTAAAGGTTCTTTACCATTAGGCTTCAGATGTCCATCCAGAATTTTAGTTTCTGAGGAACAAGATCTTGCGACAGCTATTTTTATTCAGGTCACAATCATGAGCTGTCGTTTGAAAATACCAAATTTCAACAGCTTAGTCAGAATTGTCGTGATCAAATCAAAACTTATGCTCAGTTAGGTGTTTCGACCGATCAAATTCAAGAATTTATCTGAGATGGAAGTGGATCAACGTGATAATAGAGAGAGCTTAAGTATTAAAGATAATTTTGTAACATGTAGGACTATAAATTACTATGTAAAGCGTGTAATGATTTCTTCTCTTAGTGATGATTCACTTTCTGTTGCTGCCATAGTTGAGAAACTTAGGCAGGAATCGTATGACCCTATTCTTATTTACAACCTCAAGGAAACCCATTGTAGGTCCGAAAGGCCTTAACACTCTGTCTTTTGCACTAGGATTGCAGACAAAGGAGCAAAAAGAAATGATGATTAAAGGTTGTAGCGAGATTTTATGTATAGATTCTACTCACAAAACAAATCAGTATGATTTTTATTGCTAATTTAATTGTCCCAAATGAATTTGGTAGTGGTTACCCCGTAGCACATTTTATTTCAATCAGTTGGATCAGGATACGATGTACAATTTTTTTCTTAGTATCAAGTGTATATTATTTTCTTAGTGCCTAGTTAATCAGGGCAAGCAATGCAATTAAAACACGAAGAAAATTGTACAAGAGCTTAACAGAAAACTCAAACATATTTCTGAAAGAGAATTATCCTCATTACGAATTCCCAGTTTAATTTTTGAATCCACTAGACGGCGCCAACGTCCTTCCGATCTATAGGGCTTAAATTTCATACTTAGCTAAACCCTTTAAGACATCTTGGTCACAGATCGGTGGAAATGCTCAAACTTTCGATCCCCTGATAATCCAAGTTCGGGAGGAGCGATAGCGGAGGAAGGGAGATATCACATGCGGTTTATGGTAGAAGACTCCAATCCTCAATCCGTCAAAACGCCTCAGAATTAATCATCCGCAAATGCCTTCCATTTACCCGATGGTTGAATGGCGGTGGTTCTGTTGATCCATCAAATGTAGTGATGTAGTGCTCTATCAACAAAGCGCTTAAAGCGAAAGTGTGTTATGTCAGTGCATTACCTCCAATCTTTGCTGCGTTCTCAGAAGTTAACTGACAATAGTCATCTATCAAATTTTTCCGGCACATTTTCTTGAGAAATTTCCAAGTTTAAAAATGTAGAAAGAAGCTATTTTTATTATTTCTTTATTTTGCTCTCATCAGAAATTGTAACAAATAATGTATCTCTGAAATGCATTTAAATCTCTTCACTTAAAGTATATTATTATTTTATGTTAAGTGTCTTTTTTTATTCTACAAGATTACTAGTATTTAATCTTATAGTTTGATAACAGTGAGTAATGCCGCTCATTTTTCTAGGGTCTTTATATTTGTACGTTTTTAAAAATACCAAAATATTTTTCATTTTACAGTTTGCTACTGTCGGTTTCCGTTTCACTGTTTAACATGAGTGGGTTTTGGCATATTTTTCACTATTTTATAAACTTTTTGACATATTACTCAAGCACTTAGTCAAATGATATTCTGTCAAGGGAGTTAAGCAAAAGTAAATTATAATACTTAAGTGTTACTTTATTATCATTAAAAAAATCATGATTTTTCATCTGTTTATCTTGCACTAAAATTTTGTGATTGAGGAGTAAAATTTACTTGAAGATGCATGCCATGAAAGTTCAATTCGTGTTCTAGATAAGAAGAATTTTAATTTATTAAATTACGGTAAGCAAATCAAATTAGAGATATTGCTTAAAGAAAGGGATCCCTTCCTGAATGACGTTCTACGAGAAACTTGCCTGTATTCACTTTACTTGGTGAAAATCGCGAAATCTCGTAAGCAATCAGTTCGTTCATTGTTATTTGATCAAACCCTAACTACGAGCATTCACCGGCCGCCTTTGCCTGGTCACTGATGGGCTTTGAAAGAAAGAAGTGCTATTTAGATAGTCCCTTTCAAGCACAGAATCCGCTATATCTCCACGAAACTGATATTATGAAATTGGACTTACCATTTCTACCAAGTGCATCAAATAATTTCTTTCATTATTTCTTCATGACATTTTCGAGCAATATACATCTAGAATTAAGTGCTTTAATTC